GTCGGACTTGTAGGGGTTTTCATATTGGACCCAAAGAGTATATTGTTGCTTTGATCCCAGCTCCTCGGTCTGAAATGATACAAATATGTTCCCTCGTGATAACATGTAACTATAGATTTCTCAGGAAAAAAGCCCAAGACTCTGTATCTTCTGCTTCAACGAGGGAAAAGGCAACAAGAAGAATGTTGCGTTACCATCTTGGACAACTGCCAATAATAAAACTTAATTTTATTTTCCATAAAATAGTGTACCAACAATTTGGACTACATGTTTATAGTATTTCACTGTATTAATGCATTGTGGGTAAATCCAAAAAACATAGTGAAATTGGTATCGATATCAAAGAACTCGATTATTCTGGTAGGCATGGCGAGTTTCGAACTCAACTATTGTCCCAAAATTTAGTCGTTGAACCAGGTTAAACCAACTACGTAGTTCATTGTAAGATGAATCTTATTCATCGTGTAGTTTTATAATAACATTATGTTTTGCGTTCCATGTTTTTTTTGTAAGAGACATTGTACTTATATTGAGATTGTACTGTAGAAATCAGCACTGCAATAGGTATGTGGGAGCTTGCTCTGACCAAGGGCATGATGGCTTAGCAAATCACGTTGGATTCCAAGTTTGGATGGTTCTAGTTGATCCCCTATGCACGACATGTATAAGGACCATTGTATTTTGTTAGTTCCCATATATCGGTCTTCTTCTTCTTTGAAACACAAACCATCCAGTTGTAGTCATTATCATGTTGGACACAATAACATACATGCTTTTCGGTAGTAGACCGGTCGACTCCGGACTGAACTGAATTATGAATATTGTGATTCTTAATTGTCATCATTACTTCTTCTATAGATGTAAACTTCATTCCAAGATATAAATCACCATCATTAATTGATGAATGTCTCTCATAGTCTCCAAGATAAGGCATATCAAGAAATTTTGGCATGTACAATACATCATAGTCAACTTCATACATGTGTGTTAGAGGTTTGTATTGTACCATATTTTTAGGAACTTCATCTGCATCAGAGTCCATGTTGAATTGAGGTGACTCGGGTTCAAGGAATAATCTAATTTCAGCACCATATGCTCTTGGCTCACGAAGAGGTTCTTCTAGAGGAGACGAGGGTTCTTTTGTAACTCTGATGTTTAGTTTGAACAAGTTCGCAAATGAATGTCTTCCTCCGGAACTTGAAGAGATGTCACCATATGAGTTATGAATTGAGTGTTGTGTGGAATATATTTCCATATCGTGGTTGAAGGTACTAGAAGATGAATGTCTCCCCCTAGAACTGGAAGGCATCTCCATATTAAGGTAAAAAAAAATGGCAGATGAATGCCTTCCCCTGAAACTTGATGGTATGCTAACAGGAGGTGGGTTAGCCATTATTGACGTGAAATCATTACAGATTGTTTGAGTTGGACTGTTAACTTGATCAATTGGTTCAGGCAAGTCATAGTGGGAGGATAAGGACATACCCGAAACTACATACACATTAACAAAAATGGCATATATTTCTATAATAGAGTTTAAATTTTGACTGGAAGCGTCAACCATCATAGTAACATCGTCGCTGTTTGAGAGATTAAATGATGTATATGTTAACGGAAAAAGTTTAGTAGGAAATTTGTACTGAAGTGTAGCTAGTGTTCTATTGTTTCCAACACGAGCCTTCTTTGAGATTTTTGTGCTTAAATAGTGAAGATTGATGTTTCTACTAAATGATAGAATGATATAATGATATGATCGAAAAATAACCCGTATTCATTTTCCCCAATTTCTCTATCATAGTAATTGAAATAGAAGTCATTTTCTTAGTTTGAGAGTTTGAGATTTAAATATACAGAGTTTTAGAAATTGATGAGTTTAAGATATTGAGGGTCGGGGAGAGTTTATGTAAATTGTGTGAAATGGCAGAGTTTCTCTGAATAATAATGGAAAACACTTCACCTAGAACTCACCTTTCATTTCAGATGGGATGGAAGACTATGAATGACAGAGATTATCTAAACGCACCTTTCATTTCGGATGGGATGGAACACTATGACATGGTAGAGATTCTCTGAATAATAATGGAAAACGCTTCCTCTGGAACGCACCTTTCATTTCAGATGGGATGGAACACTATGACATGGCAGAGATTCTCTGAATAATAATGGAAAACACTATGACATGGCAGAAATTCTCTGCAAATGGGGAAAGCGCTTCCATTGAAATGTGACTTTTTTTCTTCTTCAGATTTTATCTTATCCAGCGTCAAACACTATATATGAGAGATGAAGCAAATGGTCCTCAGTATTTTGCCTTCCATGTATCTTTATAATTATATTATATATCATTTTCATAGACTTTTCCATCGTTTTCAATGGAAGCTAAAAATCATTATCTTATCTTCCAAATGATATATTAGTTGAGATTTTATGTTGCTCTGTTTCTAATTTTATTGAGGACTTTCTCCACCTTTGTTTAACTTGTTGGGACTTTTACTTAGCAAAAAATTACAGATTTATATTTGCAAATGTTTGACTTCATCGGTATGCCTTGAAACCTTTGGATCGTTCTGAATGGTTGCTCATATGAAAGGCTTATGTTTCTAGAAATCCAGTATTTAGGAAAGTTATAGTTTAGTGTCTTTCCAAATATTGTGCCAATGTTGAAGTTGGTTGTCATATCTTGAAGCAAGCCTCTACCATGGGTGTCATCGAAGCAACTTACGTTTTATGCATACGATCGTTTCAAATAAAAAATAGGCTACAATAAGGATATCAAGTGTTGTCCAGATTAAACCCAATGCATATAAAGATGAAGCAAAAGGAGGTTTTCCATTACAGAAGCATGATTATCTCAACTATTGCCAAAATTTTCTCTGTTTCAAACATTGAAAAGATTCCACAAACATATTGCTCATGTGATGACACGTTTAGAGGATGCTTTTATTGCTTTTGGAATCGTGAAAGCAATATTGTAATGAATTTTATTCTTAATAGGACTAATTAAAGTCAATATGAGATTTGTTATAGATGTGATCTAAAAAAACAACAAACCATAAACATTACATTAAACAAACTATAAACATGACATGAAGTATACCAAAACAACGAACCAGAAATACCACACATCTTTCACAGACCTTAAATCATACAAAAACTTACTTTATATAATATAGAATAACAAAACAAAATAAGAGGAAAAATCTTACTTCATATAAATACATAACAAACAAACAATAAATAAAAAGATTGTCAAAATTGTTAGATTCATCGATGTCTCCTGGAATGGGTGGTGGTCGTATACTTCTAAGAGGGTTTCTTTTTATATGTTGCTCCTTGTCGTCCTTATCATTGTCATCCTCCTCTTCCTCGTCATCATCGTCCTTATCCTCATCATCATCCTCCTCGTTCTCGTCATCATCATCACTCCCAATAATATTGTCTCGATAAGGGCTAAATATCGATGTATGACCTCTGTAGAATAAGGACCCTAGAGGTGTATGACTGACGATCCCACCACTCGTTGAGAACTACAAAAATTGTGAAAAATCAGACATCGATGTTTGCGATGCATACTGTGGTTGAGGTGTTTGTAGTGGAGGACCACCTGCAAGATAATTCGTATAGGAACTAAATGTTGAATCCGTAAGCATAGTCGAAAAATATCTGCCAGTGAGTGTCATAAAACCCTACAGGCTCTATGCGTAGCCATACGGTGGTAGCATCTGAACCGATGGATATGGCATCTGGACTTACGAATATGGTATCCTTAGGTGAATTGGAGGGCTAGGGATGTAAATCAGTGTCGTTTTCTGGTGTGATGGTTCTGATGCCATAGCTGAGGATGACCCGAAAGCACCTGCTCTTCGTCCAGTATTGGGGGGACGGTGATATTGTGATGTCAGACGTTTTTTGGCGACGATGAATTGCCACCCTCTGTGCTTCCGTTGAAAGTAAGAATGGCTTCTCGTTTGCGTTGAATTATTCAATATAGTCATCTAAAACTATCAAACGAAATTTTGTTATATATTGTCAATAAGGTAAGCGTTGATGTCGGATCTCCCACATCGCCAACCAATCTCTATGCTTCACCAACCGATTTACATCTTTCTTGCCCCTTCTATTGATGTTATTCATATTGTCGATGTTCCTTGGATCTTCTGAAATATATTGTGTGAACCCAGACTAATGAAGCATGCGATCAGTCGGATGCCACTCAACAATAATATAACAAATAAGGGGCACAATCGCCACCCATACATCTAATAATCCACTCAAGTTAGGTGGGATGCAAACCCTCAATTCAATTATGACAACCATTTGAACTAAAACAAAAATATATATTTCTTATCAAAATTAAAATGAGATTCAAATTATATAAATGCAATTAAATAAAAAATTAAAATTAAAAAAAAATTATCTCCACACCAGCTTTATGGTCAATGACTAATCGGATCTCTTACAATTATTCTAGGATATCACAATAATTTTTTATATTACAGGTGATGCACCTTCCAATGGTGCCTATGCCTTAGCCCTAAGACGTATTTTATCGGGTGTATCTTATTTTCTCTCGTGTTAGATCGAACATTATTTTTTAAGTGGTGAGTGACATGTATTTTTTAAGTGATCTTTTATTAAAAAAACTAATGTTACACTGTTAGTTATGACGCGGCTATGCTCACCTACCAAATACACTGCTCATATTACCTTGACTTTCGGCGAAGCCTAGTCTTTTAGCAAAACGACAATCGTAACAACACCACCTAAATTTTAAACACATATTTTCCTATGCAATTCTTTATATATTTGACAAGCAAGAGAGCTTCAGAAAAAAAGAAATTTTTATTCTTTTTTCTGGTCAGAGAAGCAAGAAAGTTGATTCCGGGAAAGAAAGGGGCCATTCTACAAGCATAAAACAAAACACACACAAAAGAAGCTTGGAACCTCATCTGTTCCACTGTTGTTTGTTTTTTACATAAATATCAGCATGCGTTTTTGCTTGCAAATTTAACAAGTTCCCAGCTTGTACTGCTGAGAATGCTGTTCTTGTTCATTGGTAAGAGAGATTCGGTAGAGTTGTTGTTGTTGTGCATGTCAATATGGGCAATTGCTGGGGATCTGATTCTATTGGTCAAGAAGCTAGCCATGTTTACAGCTCCACCAATATCCCCACCACCGGAGGTTTGTATTTGTGTTCATTAACCAATTTTTTTGTTTTTGTTTTTGTAATCTTTTCTTCTCTCATGGATACCAAAAAAAAAAGACTGGTAATTTAGTCAACGGTTTTGTTTCTGTGTTAACAGGAACATCGAATAACATGGCATCATCTGCCACCAGCAGCGTTAGCAATTGCAGAAGTCAATTTTCTCAAACCGTAAGTGAAATCGTGGAGGAGGAAAACCCCGATGGGCGGATCCTGGAAACACCGAACTTGAAAGTCTTTACCTTTGCAGAGATGAAGACTGCAACTAAGAATTTTAATACACTTTTGGGGGAAGGGGGTTTCGGCAAAGTGTACAAAGGCTGGTTGGACGAGAAAACTTTAGCACCCTCCAAGGCTGGCTCTGGAATGATCGTTGCCATCAAGAAATTGAAGCAAGAAAGTGTTCAAGGCTTCCACGAGTGGCAGGTAAACCATCAATTTTCTCATCTGTGCCTGTGTTAATCATCACTTTCATCTTTGTTTAAGCATTATTAACTTGTAAAACTTTGTTTTGAGAATCATTAGACTAGAAAAGAAGAAGAAAGCTAGATGCTTTTTCGGCTTTATTGAGCCTTTAATCCTTAACCCCACCAAAGAAAATAGGTTCATCTGCAATCGTTGACCCCAAATGTGGCATGACTATATTGATTTCCATTGGGCCATTGACTATAAATGTTTCAATGCCATCGCTTTCTTTTCTAGGTATATGATTTGGCAAATTCCCTGATTTTAACGCCTTTGAAAAAGTCGTGTTTTTTGTTCAAGGCTGTCTCTACCAGTGCCAGCATATGATGTTTGATTCTTTATTGTCATTGTCTTTGCAGTCAGAGGTGAACTTTCTAGGAAGGTTATCTCATCCCAGCTTGGTTAAGCTGTTGGGGTACTGTTGGGAGGATACAGAGCTGCTCCTTGTGTATGAGTTCATGCAGAAAGGAAGCTTGGAGAACCATCTATTTCGACGTATGCTCGAAACTCGGAATATAAATACTAAAAAAAAAAGTTCCACTCCATGGACAAATGTCATGTTGATTGCTAGATTATTTGGTTTATGCAGGAAATCCTGCAATTGAACCTATGTCTTGGGAAACCAGGCTTAAAATCGTCATTGGAGCCGCTCGAGGTCTAGCGTTTTTACACTTTTCGGAGAAGGTCATTTATAGGGATTTCAAGGCCTCTAATATATTGCTTGATGGGGTTAGTCCTTGTTTGCCTCATGCCTTTGGATTTCAATGGATATGTGGTAGAATGAAGTTCTTTCAAATGTAGACGGATACGAGTTGAAATTCATATTTTGGTTCTTGTTTACACCTACAGAACTTCAATGCAAAAATATCAGATTTTGGCTTGGCCAAATTGGGGCCTTCAGGTGGAGACTCGCATGTAACGACCAGGGTTATGGGAACATATGGCTATGCTGCACCTGAATACATCGCATCCGGTAATGTCAATACGATACGCCTTTCCGTTCACTTGTTCAACAACTGCATAAAGCAGGCTAATGTTAAAGTTCTGATTCTATGACAACAGGACATTTGTACGTTAAAAGCGATGTGTACGGATTTGGTGTGTTGCTTGAGGTGATGACAGGGCTGAGAGCATTTGACACAAAGCGCCCGGAAGGAAAGCAAACTCTGGTGGATTGGCTTAAACCAACACTAGCACACAAAAGAAAGCACAAAACAATAATGGATGCTCGGATCGAGGTTCAGTATTCATCCAAGGCCGCATCGCTAACAGCTGTGCTTACCCTCAAATGTTTAGAGCATGATCCTAAAAACCGTCCGTCCATGAAAGAAGTTGTCGAGGCATTGGAACGGATCGAATCGCTTAATAAGGAAAGGCCAAAGGACACCTCCAGATCCGGCTCCATTCATTCCTGGACTACTCCTAGGCATGGAGAACAAGGTAGTAGTCATCGTTCCGCAGGATCAATCCGAGGGAAAAGATAAGTAATCAAAGATCCTGCATTGTGTTAATGTTCTGGAAGAGTGATGATTCTTTTTCGTTTCCTTCTCGGTTATATTATATGATCAACTACTATTCTTTTGGAGATTTCTGCATACATATGTCTGCAAATAGATTCTTTTCTTTTTGTAAATGTAGAATAGAATGGAGATTGTTGAGTTGTGTTGTGTTGTACGTAGTTTAATTTCCCATGCATCTCAAATTTGCTGGCCTGATTTTTATTATATTTATTTTTTATCCTTATTGTTATAGATAAAAAGATGATCCACATGGTTTGATCTTGTTTGTAGGCAAAAGGAAAGGTGAAGAGATATACTTGAAACCTTGATAGGTGTAAACTCAACTTCAAAGTATGATCATATTATTAATTATTATTATCATCATCATTGTTATGATGAAAAATATAGTGTTAAATTAGTCAATGTATTGCATTATAATTTATGTTTATGTATTATATCCAAAGATGAGTTGTGATTTACATTCATCTTAGCAGACATTTGGTTCATTAAATACTTTACGAGTATGTGATAATAATTTATGAAATTATCTTTATTAAATAAATAATAATATTCATGCAATTCTTTAAAAAATAAGAGCCGATAGCATCATATGTCCTCAAACTATAGTTTTCCTTCTAAATTGGTCCCTAAACTTCTAAATATTCCAATTTCTCCTTAAATTATGACTATATTCTAAATTAGCTTTAAACTTTTGAATATTTTGTTTCATCCCCAAACTATATCCTTCATTCTAGATTGGTCCCCAAACATTTTCACATTTCAATTTCATCCCAGATTATATGTATATAATAATTACATTCCATGTTAATAAAATCATTAGGCCAAGTATATTGTTATGTTTTTGAAAAAAATAAATTTTAGATTAATTATGGTTAAATTAATTACTATTTGGATGAATTTGGGGATGAAATGGTAGGTTTAAAAGTTTAGGGACCAATTTAGAATAAAGGTGATAGTTTGAGGAAATTGGAATTTTCAGAAGTATAAGGACTAATTTAGAATGATTATCATAGTTTTGAAGATGAAATTATAATATTCAAAAGTTTTAGGGACTAATTTAGAATGTGGATCATTGTTTTGGGGCAATTAATTCAAACAAAATAATAATATTGATGCATTTATTTATTTTATTAATATTCATGCATTAAAATATTTTATAATAACATTTCATTAAAATAATTAAGGAAATATTACATATTAAGCCAAGTAAAACAATTTTATATGTCTAATATTAAAATCGCATGTAGATTAACTACTAAGGCTGAATTTATATTAAAATTATTTAATGTTGATGTAAGAATGAAGATTAGAAATGATATTAATACTATGATAAGTTGTGTCTTATGAAAGCATATCAAACAGAATAAAGATTGACAATCGAGTTTGCTTTAAAGTTAAACCTATATAATGTAAATTAAATTTCAAAAACAAATATTGATAATGGAATTTAATACTCAATTGTCAAAATGTCTTCTTTGATTCACAAATGATTGATACATAAATTTATTATAACACATCTTATTAGCCAATTTTAAAATGTAGTATCAAACCTATTTGAGTTTATTTATAGGGTTACTCACTATTTTATTATCTCTTATTTCACTCTTCGTATATTTACGGCATTATGACGTAGATTACTTAATACTTTTTAATTATTAAAAAACAAATAAAATTAAAAAAATCATTTTCATTCATTCTTTCTTCTCTCCTCTTCCCATTTCTCTATTTTTCTCCTCATCTTGTACAAACCCAGATTATGATCACCATCTCGACTGTCGTTCTGACCACCATTGGCCTCCTTTGTTGGAGGTCAGACTCTCAAAATTCCCCTCTAGAAAACTCCCTAAATCCCAAAATATAACACTCGTCCCTCTCTCACCATGGCAGAACCTTCATGGAACATCTTCAGTTTTTTCTTGATTCCAACGATGGCTCATTCATAAGTAAATCCCATAATAATTTTCGTGCTCAGATTCCGAATCCATCGATAATAAGCTTGAAAACTCCTTATGAATCTTGATTTCAACAGCAACTTTGGTGGATTTATATTAATGGAGGTGCAAATGCTGAGTCACACCGTGAGAGTTCACGAAGGCAACCACAAGCATGGTACCCACCATTTTTGGTTTACTGAGATTGATGCTACGACGAGATGCTTTTGGTGCATCAGTAAGAAATCTTTTGGAAGAATTTATCCTTGCTTCTGGTGTTTATTCTTTCAAATAATGTATAATGAAATGGGTTTTTGTGTATTAGTGTAATTTCCTAGGATTAACCCACCATTCATGGATTGATTAGTGGAGGTTTCGAATGCTTATGATATTTTTTCATCCTTTGTTAAGTGTCAAAGGATGATGGATTTTATCCTATTTCATCATCAGTGTTTGTTGTTGAATCTACACCAGTGTTTTTAAGGGTACAATTTACCCTATCTAGAATTTGAGTTTTTGAAAGAGGAGAGAAAGATACCATTGATGATTTGAGATTTAAATTTGGATTTGGGGTTGAAGGTTTAAAACTAGGGTTTGATAATAGAATTTAATAATTTTATATTTTAAAATTATAAATCTGATGTGACAAATTTTATTATTAAAATAAGTTATGTAGTAACTCTATTAATGAGAAAATAGTCGAGTGATAAAAAAATTTAATGTTTAAATTTCAGTGAGTAAATTAAAAAAATCGAAAGTGCGATAAGCGAAATAGGAGAGATAATAAATTTTAATGAGTAATCATGTATTTACCCATATTATAAGTATAAAAATATTGTCCTATAAACATTGTATTTTTAATTTCATCGAATGAGTACTCACCAAACTAATATATTTATAAGTTCGAGTTCTATGGTTAGAATATGTATTATGTAATCCATCAAGAGACTCCGGTGACTAAAGGGGGTGTTGTTTTCTTTTAAGGACCCGGATTCAAGCAATTACGTCTACATGCATATGTGTTATCAATTATTAAGAAAAATTCTAAACAATTACTACCTTACAATCACATTAAATTACTCAATAAAGCGTAAATTTAATAGTTGTATTTTAATTTAATCAATTATAGTCTCTTTATTTTTAAAAATTTAAAATTTCAGTCTTAAATAATACAAAGATAATATAATAAAAGCTTAAGGATTATAATTATCAAAACGAAGAAGAAGAATTAAATCTATAACATATAATATAGAGACTAACGATAGAATTCAATTTAGCAAATGTTATAACTACTATCTATTTAGATTAAGATTGAAAATTGACAAAGTATAAAGATCAAAAATGACGAAAATAAGGTATATGAGAACAGTCGCACTATGATTCAAAAGGAAGAAATGAGCAAAAAAATATGCTTTTTAGTTTAATGTTAATGAGAATAAAAAGTTGTGACAGAATAGCAAAATGATGGAGGTAATGAAATCATTTCAATTAAAACTAGATGGACTACAAAAAAATATGCGTGAAAGAATAATAACTATGATCCAGCAAGACGAGCAGCTTTTGAACAAGTTTTATTTCCCATCACTCACCATATGCATCAATGACGTGGTTTATGCAAACGGGGGCGATTGCAGAAAATCCTGCCATTAGCCTTCACAACTGCTGCAACACCAAGGCTTATGGTAGCCCACAAAGCAGACGGCGAAAACAAAGATTATGTCGATGTCCCTTTCGTGCTAATGAAGCTATACTTCATCGTTGGATTAAGCACAAGTGTAAACTAACCTTGCCCAAGTGACAAGATTGTGAGAAGTAACCCTAGTGAGACCACACATAAAGCTGCTGGGAAGTTCTGCAGAAACAAACAAATAAAAAACTTAAAAGAACTACTAAGACCGATAAAAGTATTCGACATGGATAAGAAACACGGAATATAAAGTTACATACAAAAGCATATATCTATGTATCTGTATTCAATCTTGGCACCGGCAAATAAAAACATGAAATGGCACATGATGATGGGAAAGTAATACATTCACCTTCTGGCTTGTGCCGCAGTACTAACATAATAGATCAGAATGAGATACTATGAAATATATAGGTGGAACAAAAAGATGGAAAGCTTTTAACATTCTACTAGGGTTGTAAAGATCAACTGGAATATTCTAGCAAAATACTTTGGAATATGCGTTAAATAATGTGTTTAACTATGCATAGTAAAGCCATAATCTCAAGTCTCAACAACATAACGTGGCTGCTTGATCATTTTTCGGTAAAAATCTATATTTCAAAAGTTTCAGATGAACGTTTTGCACTGTATACAAATGTGACACACTCTCTCTCTCTGCCGGCCTCAAACCTGCAGTGAAGTTTTGATATATTGTATTGGACAAGGACATGTCAATGGACAATGAACTCTAAGTTCCTGTCGAGGACTGTCATCTGACATAAGCTTCTTGTATAATCCACATAAACAAGATGGCAATAGCTTCGAAAATTAAGTAATATCACGCAGTATATAGCTTCACAAACATCACAATAAAAGCAACGGAATCTTGAAAGTCATATTTTTGTTCCATCTATACTTACAGCCATAGACTCAAGGCCTCCTTTTTGTGATGGTGGTGTTAAATCCCGGCTGACAGAAACAATGTAATGTCCTAGCAGGAGATCAATCGCATCCTAAATGCGCGTAACAAATATATTAGAGAAAGCTTCTACATTGAATACCATCTCAGAAATGATCCCTTTATAAATGGAGTAAAATAAGAAACAAAAGAAAGGAGAGAGCAGGACACCAATTGTTCAAAGAGCTGCTCCATTTATTACACCTATTTTAACAGAAAATATATGATCAAATCATGGATTGTTGTTCACAAAATAATGACACCGATTTAACAGTAAGAATGGTGAAACAAAAGTTCGATGTGAAATAGTATTGAATGATGGGCACTTATGCATATAAAAGTTCTTCTATCATTAGAATTAGGGGGGAAAATAACTAAAAGGTAGGGTCACCTACCATTATCCTACCCCATACATTTACAGACAGCTATAAACGGTGATGGTAAGTGAAAATAGTTTGAAATATTATTAACCTACTTTTGCAAGTATTACTTAAAGAAACAAGTATCCGTACCTGTTTTGTTCCATCAGCAAAGTTATTCAAATAATACCGACCGAGGGCATTATAGAAATCATTAAGGATCCCTTGAACTGTCCGCTTACCAAACCTACAGCTCACAAGAAACAAACAGGTCAAACCCCATAGATCAATTCTAAATGTAAACAAAAAAGTCATATTTTCAGAGATGCACAGAAAATGATAACTGGTCATATTCAAAGTGCCCAAAGGCTAATCGAATATCATTTCTGGATTTCA